TTGGATACAGAGGGCAAACTGTAGTGTACCTCCAAGTGGGAAAGGGCCCTCTCTCACCTGGACCTTCAAACACAGGCCCACTTACTAGGCAAAAAGTAGAGGGGATTCTGATATAGGTACAGACCTGCCTGCATGACCTGGGAGACTCTCTGATTTTGACAACATGTGATTCTGTGACCTCCTATTCCTCTATCTCTCCTTCTATCTCTCCCTGTTTTCACAGTTTAGCACCCATATTCTGCCTTTATTTAAATTGCTTTCCCGTGCCCTTCCAATTCTTCTGCTGTAGTACTCTCCAACCCTAGATCACCACTTTCTCCACCTCCTACACCTTTGATGTCCAGTGCTTAGCACAGTGCCTAGCACATAGTAGGTGCTTAATAAATGCTTATTGATTGATGATCAATACTGCTGGAAGAGGTTGCTCTAACATGCAAATAGAGTTCACTATAAGTTCATTTTATCTAATCTCACCTGGATTCTCCCTACTTCATGAAAGCCCTATTCACCACTGATTGATTATCTATCATACTCCTCACAATGGCTGTTTCAAACCTTCTCCTCAAACTCTCAGATCCATTTCCATTCCTGTCTCTCTTAACAGATGCTCTCACCTGCCAATTTAATGAGGAAATGGAAGCAATTTATCATGAGGTCTCTTGTCTCTCCTTTAATACCTCAAACCTTTTTATGCAATCTCCACTGTCTCCTCATTTGGTCTAGTATCGGAAGATAAGGCAGTTTCTCTCTCTTGTTAAGGCTAACCTGTCTGCATATCCCTTTGATCCCAAATACTCCTATCTCCTCCAGGAGCTCACCCTATGATCTCTCTCTCATCTTCCATCTCAACCATACTTCCTGGATCCTTCCCTTCTGCTTCCAAACCCACTCAGGATTGTGGCCTGGCATTAACTCAAGCTGCTTTCTAATCCCTCTTCCTTTCCACAGTGAGAAGTTCCTTCCAACTCCTAGAAATAACTTTCTCTACTTACTGACTTCCCTTCTTCATAACCTACTGACTTCCTTTTCCCAGCTACATAGCATCTGGCTCTACCAGTGCACTGAAACTACTCTTCAAAGTTTACAGTGATATCTTAATGTTGACATCCCTAGAGGTTCTGACAATGTTGAACAACCCTTCCCTCCTCTTGGACACTCTCTCCCTTCTTTACTTCCATACTTCTACTTGTTCAATCGTATCTGACTCTTTGTGACCACATTTGGGGTTTTCTTGGCAGAAATACTGGAGTGATTTGCCCTTTCCTTCTCCAGCTCATTTGGCAGATGAAGAAACTGAGGCAAATAGGGTTAAGTGACTTGCTCAGGGTCACACAGCTAGTCAGTGTCTGAGGCCAGATTTGAACTCAAATCTCCCTGACTCCAGACCTGGCATTTTATCTATGCCACCCAGCTACCTGCAGTTCTATTTTACCCTAGTTTTTATCCCTAATGTTCCTTCTCAGTCTCCTCCATTAAATCATCCCTCTCCCACCATTTAAGAATGGGAGTTCACCAAGATTCCATCTTGCTCCACCTTCTCTTTCCCTGTTTCTGCCCCCTCCTTCTTTAGATAAATAGATAGTAGATAATGGGTAGATAGATAGATGGTAGATAGCTTCATTTTATAATTTCATTGGCTCTCAGATTCCCTTATCTTTATAAAGCAAATGACTTCCAAATATCTGCCATTCCCAATCTTTCTCCTAAATAGTATTTCTGCATCAAAAACTGAGTGCTGAACATCTCTACATAGTTATCTCATTGACATCTCAAATTCAACATGTCCAGGACTTAAATCATCATCTCTACCTCCCCCAATTTTGCCTTCATATAAACATAATGATTTCTGCTGATGCCACCGCTAACCTTCTAGTTATTCAGGTTTGTAATCTCAGAAAAACCAATTTCACCTTCCTTTCCCTCCCCTCTTTCCCCCCCCGCCCAGGCCCCATATTCAATCACCTGCCAAATCCTACAAATTTTATCTCCACAGCATCTCTCACATCTATCCTTTTTTTTCTCCCCTCAGTTACGACCATGTCCTCTCACTTGGATTATCATGGTTAGCAGTCTCTCTGTCAATAGTCTCTGTCCAAAACATCCTCCACAAAGTTGCCAAAATAATCTTCCTAAGGCAAAGGTCTCACTTAGCTTTGCACTCCCTTAGTTGTACACCAATCTACCTTTCCAGCCTTCTTTCTCATTATCACCCTTTGTATATTTTATGTTTTAGCCAAAATGGACTTCTAACTATGGCTAAATGGCCAATAGACCATCTCCTTCCTCTATATACTCTCTCCTCCATGCTTGGAATGCATACCTTTCCTCTCCACCTCTCAGAATCCTTATGTTTTTTCAAGGCTCAGTTTAAGGATCTTTTCAATGGTGAACTTGATGTCTCTTTTGTCCACTTCCCTCTATACCTTACCTTTATTCTACCTTTATTTATCTTTATTATATTTGCATATCTCCAGCAAAATGTAAGTTTCTTGAAGGCAGGAACTGTTTTATTTTTGTGTTTAAATTACTAGCACCTAATACTGTGCCTGAATGATAATTTAATAAGTACTGGAATTGAATGAAATGAATTGAACTGAAGTGAGGAATACGGCATATTTACAACAATGAGTGAAAAGTAGAGTGAAAGATAACATCAAAGATATGTAGGACCAGAAAGAGACCATAAATGTTAAGGTTCAGAGGCTTAGAGGTGCTGGGACCCCAAAATCACAACACATGGGTCCTGCCCTAATGAATTCAACCCAAGCCTTCTTTCAGCCAAAGACAAGATTTATTAGAAAGTCAATGGGGAAGGGTTGGGAGGTGGGATTTAAAGAGTCCACCATGTTGGCCAGACTCTTAAGGATTCTAAGCATTTGTATTGCTAATGAAAGCAGGGCAGATCTTAAGAATCTGAGCACTTTAATGGAGGCCAGATAGACCTTATATACAGAAAGACTGTGGGAGGGATCTAGGAATGGCCAAGTAGTCTGGGGTGACTAGAGGAGGGGTCTAAGGAGGATCTGGATGGGAGTGGCCAGTAAGATGGGGTGACTATGAGGTAACAGAAAGTCAGGGATCTGGAAAATGAAGCCTAGAGAGCATTAAGGGTGGGAAGTGGCCAGGGGCCATAGGGAGGTGAGACAATGGAGGGCTAGGCTAGGTTAAGGATAACAGAAAATTGGGAGATTAGGCTTAGGCTATAATGAAATGCCAGCTGATAGGATTATAGCCTCAGCCAAATGCCAAAGACTTGGCCATGTGGGAAAATCCAGGGATTTTCCTTGTTGGGATCCAAATCTTAAAGACATGGTCTTTTCCTTTTAGGGGTTCAGAGCCCATCCCCATCAATATAATGACAGAAATTGTTAACACAAATACAATATGGACTGCCACTCTCTTAAGTGATCCTTGTAATGTCAGAATTTCAGTAATGTTCTTACATTCCTACTCTTAAGATATTTACTTTTGACAAATTTGAGCTGAGCCACATCTAAGTCCCCCACCATCCAGAGATTTTACCTTGAAAAGGATCTCAGCTTCTAATGTCCTTGTTCCCTCCCATGGTTTTCCTTGCACAGATAGCCAAGGGCCACTGGGGTCTCATGACAAGACCTTGCTACCTCATACCACCTCCTCCCCTATTCCTCTTAAAAGTATAAAAAATCTTTCATGGGTCTGTTGGTTGGGAAATTCATTGTGTTCTGCACTCATGGGACATCCCCCAGGGTGGCAAGTTTGCTACCTTGTTATCTCAATTAAAGAAGATTTATTCCTCAACTCATGGCTTCGATTTATTTGATTTATTTTAGGACTTAACAGGTGTCAGGAAGACCCTACTGAAATGACTTAACAACAACCTTCTCATCTTTGGTCTCCATATGGACATGTAGAAGTCCTGCCCTCACTACTGGATCCCTGGGTGAGAAAGAAACATCCTTGTATAACTTCCTAAGCATTCTCCTCTAGGGATCAGACTGCTTTCCCTCATGTGGACTTTACTTTATCCATTCATACAGGTCTAGGGATCTGCATGACTTTTGTCCTGGAAACTTCCTCTCTCTTTCCCTTGATCCATTCTCATAGACTCATAGAATGTCATAGCAGGAAGGAACTTTAGAATCCCTTCCTCCAACCTCCTCATTTTACACCTAAGAAAACTGAGACTTAGAAATGTTAAGTAACTTTTTCAAATTCACACAGCTAGAAAAAGCCATAACTGGGATTTCAATCGAAGTCATCTAACTTCTAGATTAGGGCTTGTTTGGTTTTTTCCATTACAACATACCACCCTCTGTCTGGGTTCATTTTTTAGAAGAAGAAAAAAAAGACAAAACTCGAATACATAGTAAAATGAAAATAAAGTATTCCACACTCACACCAGTAAGAGTAGGGTCTGGCACCAGCATCCAATTAAATGTGATGCAACAAACACTTCCTAAGCATCTGCTACTATGTGCAATGTCATGCTGGTTGCTGAGGATACAAAGGTGAAATAAGAGAGTTGGGGAGTCTCTGCTCTTAAGGAGTTCAGCCTAATGGGTGAGAAAAGGCAAAAATAAGGGCAAATTAGATTGTAATTAGGTGCAAAGGAGAGATACATAGGGAGTATTGAAAGAGAAGTAAAGAAATCACTTCCAGCTAAGGAAACAGGGCAGACTTCATGGAAGAGGTAGAAAATTCAGTAATATACTAAGCTAACCACTTACGGAATGTGAACAAAAATAATTTCTTCACAAATACATTTTTAACAACCTGTTATTCCCATTGTCCATCTCTCTCTCTTCACTGTCTCCTCATCTTGTCCTACAAAATCCTCTTTTACATTATCATACCCCAATCTTCATCAATAGCAATCCCTTGCAAGATATCTTGAGGTTTACAGGCTAGATATCTTTCTTAAGGACCATGCCTTATACCCAAATCACTAGGGCTCTCATTGATTGGTCTACAATGGCTCAGAGTGAATGTAAATAGAAATTGTTTCCATTTTGGCCAGAAACTCTGAGGGTCTTCCTCCCCTGGTTAGATTATTTTTATTTTTTAAACATGTAAAAGAGGCCATTCTTTGCCTCATTTCTTACCTCTTGGTGTTGCCTCAGTCAAACTGAGACCTGGGAAAGACCTTAGCTTAAAAAGGCTAAAAGACCTTAGTTTAAAAAGGCTAAGGTCTCCCACTGCACCCAAGTCATCTCCGATCATCATGATCTATATCTTGCCACTGGACCCAGATGGCTCCAGAGGAGAAAGTAAGGCTGGTAACTTTGCACAGACTTCCCTCCCTTAAATCCAATTCACTTGCAAAGTCATGGCATCACCTCCTGACAATGAAGGACGAACAATAACAACAGCAATTACTTGTTTGGAAAGGTACTAAAAGGGATAGAGAGAGTTGAAGGACGGGGAGAGATCTTAAGAGTTCATTTCCCTATCTCCTAGAACAGGCTTTGAACAGCATCTTTGTACAGTGCTGAAAAATGATTACTCTCCATTTCATCTGGAGGGCTGGTTGTGGGGTACATGTGCCATTTAAGGGCTGATATTCTAAACTTCTCTCTGCCAAGGTGAGGGTGGGGTCAGCAGAGCCCCCTCTGAAAAGTTGTCCCAATCACCAACTGAAAACTCAAATTTTTGGAGCACTAGAATGATTTGGAATTTGGATATTAACTGCTTCTCAGCTCCCCTAAAGACAAGAGCAAACAGGTTAACCTCGGTGCTGGCCATAGATTAGGCTCTCAGTAATTGCTCAATGCTTGGTTGAATTGATGAAAAAAAAAAAAATTGAACTTAAGCCAAGGCAGAGGTAAGTGATTATACAAGCTTTTTGCCCCTGGAACAGATCACCAAGGAAAGCGAGTCATCACGTGGAGGTGGGTACGGGAGGAGTACTATGGTCTGTTTGCCAGTACCTCCCACATAGTAAATACCAGTAGAGAGGAAAAGAGGAAGGATAAACCCTATATAAGATCAGATTCTGTTAAAGCTCAGCGTATGCAAATCACAAGAAGTTGGGCTTACTTCCACATTTCTATTTCTGAAAAAGAGGGCCAAGGGGCAAGAAACCTAATGCATTGAAGAATTGTGCTTCTTAGGGATATGAAAATAATGATGGCTCATTTTCCTTTGTTTTTCCTCAACACTCAATATATATTTACTCTAATGCTTCTTTGACAGGGCTCATTGAGGAACATGTTACCAGCAATGATATACGCTGCAAGATTCTTGTTTATGGTTTTTCATTACTCCTCCACAGAAGACCTACCCAGCACATTGGTAGCCTTCCACTGTTCTTTCTACATTTTGTGGGCACCAGAGCAGCACTAGGACTGTCCATCTATTATCTCTCAGTTTCAATCCACATAATGTATTTCATTATAAAAGGCCCCATTTTCTTTTCCAGTCCTATATTCCTGACAATGTCTTTTAGGTCAGTTCTTGAATAAAAATATCACTTACAATGTGCTACTCATGCCTATCACGAGACTCACAAAACCCAATATAAACCAATAAAAAATTCAAAATCAAAATAGGTTCAAGCATTGTGAAACTGCTTAAGTCTGTAATTAAGAATGCTAAGGAAGATTTCATAACCCATGTGCTTTTAGAACTTACTTTCTGCATGCAGTAAACTTATTATATATTTCTCATTGCAGCACTTCCCGGTCCACGGAACAGTTGGGCAATTCTGAGAATGCAGCCTGGAGTCCTTACTTCCAAGACATCCAGTAAACTTCCTCCATTAGTCAAACTGAGCATGCTGAGATGACCCTAGGCTGCACTCTTATAGTCTGCCATACACTTCTCTAGCCCAATGTTCACTCTTGCTGCCACATCAGCAATTCTGTTCAGACCCAAAGGCAGTCAATTAGTCAATCAACATTTATTAAGTACCTGCTATTCAACAGGCACTGGAAATACAAATAAAGGTAAAAAGATTGCCCTTGCCCTTGAGGAGCTCACAACCTAATGGGAAAAACAACATGCAAACAACCATGTACAAACAATAGGATAAATAGGAAATAATCATTTTCATTACACAATGACCCTGCCTGCTCTCCCAGTCTTTGGTGATGTCTTTTAGGCTACTTTTTGAATACAAGTCGTCATTTGTAACATACCTACTCGTGCCCACCATGAGACCCACAAAACTCATAAAAATTGGGAAAGTCTTACTGTAGAAGGTGGGATTTTAACTAGTACTTGAAGGAAGCTAGGAGATATAGTAAGCTGATACACAAACTCATAGAATCTTAGAACTGAAAAAGACCTCTTAAAAGTTAAAAGAGACTTTTTAAGTTCTAAAGTGGACCCCTAATCTAACTTCTCCCATCAACATTACCCATGTTACAGAGAGGAAACTGAGTCCAATATGACATGAAATATCATAAAAGATTACATTATTTGCCCAGAGTCACTGGTCAAGTTTCCTCCTGACCTTATAATTAGACTACCCAGAACTCTTGGATCCAGAGTAAATAAGATTTAGGAAAAAGCTAAGCCTTTCCTTAGCCTAGAGAATAAAAATCCAATGGATTTAATAGCCCCTTCACTGCTTTTAGAGCCCTGAACTTATAAACAGGAGTTAATGGCTATACCATTGATTAACAATGCTAAGAATGTTATTAACTCAATTTACGTCAAACAATTATTTATTGACCCAAGATGTGGTAGAGTCTGTGTTCAACACTTTAGAAGGCATAGATGAAACCTAAAGGGATATTAACAGTTTATTGTGGATGAAAAGTTCAAGGAGGCAAGGGGGTAAGATGAAGAATTTTGATTATATAAAATTTAAAAGGTCTTGTACAAACAGAACCAATGAAACTAAATTAGAAGAAAAGCAGGAAACTGATGGGGGAAATCTTTGCAGTAAATTTCCCTGATAAAGGTCTTATTTTTCAAATATATTGGGAGCTGAGCCAAATTTGTAAGAAAATGAGCCATTCTCCAATTGATAAATGATCAAGGAATATGAACAGGCAGAGGAGGAAGAAATCAGTGGAAGAAAGTAGTTATCAATAAGCATATGAAAAAATGCTCTAAATCATACTAATTAAAGAAATGAAAATTAAAACAAGTCTGAGGTCCAACCTCACACCTATCAGATTGACTAAGATTACAGCAAAGGAAAATGACCAATGCTGGAGAGAATATGGGAAAACTGGCACATTATTGCATTATTGGTGGAACTGTGAACTAGTCCAACTATTCTAGAAAACAATTTTGAATTATGTATCAAAAGCTATTAAATCATGCATACCATTTGACCCAGAAAAAACTTCTGCTAGATCTACAGCAAAAGAGATTCAAAAGAAAAGAACCCATATGTACAAAAATATTTATGACAGCTCTTTTTGTAGTGACAAAGAATTGGAAACTGGGGGATTGCCCATTATTTGGGGAATGCCTGAACAAGTTATGGCATACAAATGTGATGGAATAGTATTTTACTATAAGAAAAGATAAAGGGGATGGTTTCAGAAAAACCTGGGATGATATATGAATTGACACAAAGTAAATGAGCAAAACTAGAGCAATCTATACAATAACTACAATATGCAAAAATAATCATCTGTGAAACACTTAGTAATTCTGATCAACACAGTGACCCACCATATTTCCAAAAAACTCACGACGAAAAATGCTATCCTTCTCCGGATAAAGAACTGATGCATTTAGAGTACAGACTGAAGCATTCTCTTTCTTTTTTTTTCCTCCCGAAACATGTTTAATGAGAAAATTTGTTTTTCATGACTTCAGATTTGTAATGACTTTGTATTTCTTGCCATCTCAATGGATGGGGGAGAGAGTAGAGAGAGGAAGAGAATTTGGGTTTTAAAATAAAATAGCAGAGCCAAGATGGTGAATTAGAGACAGCCACAAGCTGAACTCACTCAACATTCCCCTCCAAACAATTTTAAAATAACTCCTCAGATCAAATTTTGGAGCAGCAGAGACAACAAAAGGTCAGAGTGAGACATTTTTCCAGCCTAAGATAACTTAGGAGAGTTGGGGAGGTCTGTAATACCAGATTGGGAGTTGGCCCAGGGCACGTCAACAGCACCACCCGTGGACTTGGAGGCACCTGCAACAGCTGCAGCAGCAATAGCTTCCAAAGCTCTCAGTCCAGAAACTGGTGAGCATCAACACTCACAGGTTTGCAGGGGTAGAAATCATGATGTCAGACAAGGCAAAAGCAAGAATAGACCTGATTAAAAGGGATAACCAGGGAAACTACATTTTGCTAAAAATTACCATAGACAATGAAGTAATATCAAAAAAATTTTTCGTTTCATTTCTGAATATCAAAAATTTTGAAAGACAGATTTCCCTGATAAAGGCCTCATTTCTCAAATGTATAGGGAACTGAGTCAAATTTATGAAAATAAAAACAAAAACCAGTCCCCAGTTGATAAATGGCCAAAGGACATGAACTGGTAGTTTTCAGAAGAAAAAAAATCAAAGCTGTCTATAGTCATGTGCAAAAATGCTCTAGATCACTATTGATTAGAGAAACGTAAATCAAAACAATTCTGAGGTATCACTTCAGAGCTATCAAATTGGCTAATATGACAAAAAGGGGAAATGATGGGTATTGGAGGGGATGTGGGAAAACTGAGACACTAATGCACTATTGCTGGAGTTGTGAACTAGTCTAATCATTTTGGAGAACAATCTGGAACCATATCCAAAGAGCTATAAAACTGTGCATACCCTTTGAGACACAGAAATGCCACTACTAGGTCTGTACCCCAAAGAGATCAAAGAAAAAGGAAAAGGACCTATATGTACAAAAATATTTATAGCAGATATTTTTGTGGGGCAAAGAATTGGAAATTGAGGGGATGCTTATCAACTGGGGAATGGCTGAACAAGTTATGGCATAGGATTATGATGGAATACTATTGTTGTATAAGAAATAATGAGGGGGGTGGTTTCAGAAAAAGAAACAAAACATCTATACATGCAAAGTGAAGTGAAAAGAACCAGGATATCATTGTATACAGCAACAGCAATGTTGTAATGATAATCATATAATTGGACCATCATATTGATGGTCCAAGGCAATTCCAAAGGACTCATGATGAAAAAATGCTATCCACCTCCAGAGATAGAACTGATGAACTCTGAATATAAACTGAAGTATAATTTTCTCACTTTATTTTTCTTGCTTTTTTGTGAAATGGCTAATATGGAAATATGTTTTGCATGATTTTGCATGTAAAAAAGTGAAAAGAAAATTTAAAGAAAAAAACAATATATTATGGAGACAATACGGCAACTTATAAAACAGTTCCCAGAGTAGGTAGAACTATTTTGGATCAATAGAAAGAATACTGAATTTGGAGCCAGGAGGTCTGGAATTAAACTCCAACTTTGCCACTAATTAATTGCATGATGTTGGGCAAGTCATTGGACCTCAGTTTCCTTATCTATAGAATTGTTATATTTGTAATCTTTAAGGTCTCTTCCAGCTCTAAAAATCTATGATCATACCTTGAGGAAGGCTTCAGAGGAGAAATCGGTCTTGGGCTGCTTCCCAAGAAAGACCAACTCTGATGCTTCAATTAATCGATATCAGTACTCCTTCCAACAGTAGATAGTAACCCACCTATGCCTTCTCACCCTATGTGATGCTTGTCTACATCCTCTCATAAGTCTCCACAGTGTCCACCCAATGTGCTTAAAGGGCTTCCTCTAAACCTCTTGGCATTTTGTGGGTGCCAATGGAGCTCATAGGCTGTCAATCTGTTATTCCTTGCTTTTGTTACATGACCAACTCATCTTTTTTCTAGGCATTCATTTCTAATGATATCTTGCACACTCCTTTTTAAGTGCATTTCCATGATTAGCCTGTTCACACATGCCATGTATCATTTGCCTCTTTAGTGAACTGAAAATTCAGTTTTTGAAAACTGTGGTATTCCATGACGTGCAGCCTTGCAGTGTCACTAGAAAAATGATGTATTTAAAGACTTTTTTTTGTTTGTTTGTTTGTTTCAAGAAGAAGCTTGCAATACACAATTTTCCAAATGTAATCCAGGCCCCCTCACTTCCTTCTATTTAATTCTGGGCCCAATCCAATATCCATCAGTAGTATTTTTCCAAGATATGTATTGGTTGGTTGGTTGTTGTCCTCTGTTGACATCACTATGTTGGAGTCAAGGTACAGTATGTCCAATTATGGCTGATCAGACCAATACAAGGCTCTACCACAGATTGAGCACAAATAGTTCACATGAACATTTGGAGTGAAGATGTCTAAATTTGCACCTCTCACATTTCTTTTGAGCTACTGCAGTTCTGCTTTGCTTATAGAGCACAGCACCTTCTTTGACATGGGCACACCATTCTGGGTAGTCTTGTGTTAGTGTTTCCCATGTCTCATAATTGATTCCAAATTTCTTCAGAGGGACATTGAGAGTGTCCTTGTATCACTGCTTCTGACTTCCACTTGTCTTGTGTGAGTTCTCTATAAAACAGTTTTTTAGGCAAACA